TATTTTTATAAAGAGATTTGGAAAACCGTTCATAGACCATCCTAACAAAGTTTCCCACCAGTTTCAAAAGAAAAGCTGTTCATGAGGAGAACAAAACAAAAGAAACCTTGGATGCCATGGTACAGCTAGCTAAACGACATTCACTTAGGGTATTTTTAAAACTACTACGGATTACCGTAGCTTCTCCCTAGAGATTCTGATTTAGGAGATGAGATATAAAACTCAAGATTCTTTATCATACACAAAATGCTAATGTGATACTTTTTTCTAACAGTTTCAACAATAATCAATCCATAGTCAATATTATTTCATCTATACTCAAACCACCATCTTTTCCCTTTTCCATCCTTTTTTGATAAACTCTAATTTGGGGGATTACTGTACCAACTGAAAAGTGAAATCACTATAAAGGTTTTCTAAAATATAGTATGTTATACTTCCCTATGGATCTGAAGAGATCACAAGTTATACTTGGCTAGATTTAAGAGAAATCTTATGTTGGAACCATCTTTTTAAATGAGTTCAGAAGTTGAAATGCACAACAAAGGCTCCTCAAGCATGCCCATAGCCATTAGACGGTATTTAGTGGTTGTGTACGATCATTTTGGTTTAATCATGGCTATCACAGTATTCGTTAATCTGTATTTGGTACAACCTGTGCTTAATTCTGAGGCATTTTATGGACATTATTAACCCATTACCGGTAAGTACATGAATAGTAAACAATGAAAACAGTTATATGCAAAAGAGCAAAAATAAAAACGTAAAAAAAGCTATGTAATGAAAAAAACAAATACTGTATAGGAGCATTTGATTCTGAAGGACAAAAATAACTGAATGTATAAAATGTGCTATGCCTACAACATATACAGCAAGAAATGAGGAAAGGAGGCTGGTGAAATAGCTAAATTTCACACTTACAAGGTCAATGTTGCTGTCTGACCCCTGCTAGCCTAATTCTAATTCAGTAGAAAGCTGAGAGCTTCTTCAATGTCAGCACTGTTAATCAAACTTTCACATCAAACCATGGTTAGCCTAAATATGCCAAAAAAAAATCTTAATGTGGAATAAAATAGTTGACATACATACTGAAGTTATATGGAGTTCCCACATTTGCAGAAACTTCCACTTTATATTTTGACAAATGACTTAACATAATAAAAAAGACCTTTAGAGTACAGTTTGGCAAATGCATACATCCATATAACCAACAGCAACCAAGATATAAAATCTTTCTATCACCCCAAAAAGTTCCCATGTGCTACTTTCCAGTCAACACCCCGGCCAAGGCAACCTATCCTAAATAAGAGTGCTATGACATTTGTGTACAAGTATTAGGAGAATGCAGGTTCAGTTCTTGTGGGTAAATATGGGAGTGAAATTGCTAGATCAAAGTCTATAAGCATGTTTAATTTTATTTTTTTTAAAAGGAATAAACAAACAAGTCATTTTACAAAGTGGTTTTATCACTTAACACTCCCAGAGTTCCAATCAAATTCCTCACCAACACTCGATATATCTAGTCTTTCTTAATATTAACCTATGTAGTAGGTGCAGACAAGTAGCTCGCTGTATTTGTGTTTTGCATTTCTCTAATTACAAAATGGCATAGCAAAGCCTCATCTGTACTTGGAACTCAGTTAGATGATAAGATACTGGACTCAAGCCTTACGTGACACTCTAGTGGGATAAGACTTTTGGAGAAAAGAATGATGAAATTTTGTATATGGGAGGATTGCAAATTATTGTACAAGAGGATATACTATATTAGAGAACAATTCTCCATGAACATCTCACATTTCTGCATGGTCTGGGTCCACTGAGCAATGTCATTTACAGCCAATTTAAGATGTTTATACAAGGAAACATTCTAGATAATAACACTTAGCAACATTGAGACAGTTCAATGTCCTCTCTCCAGAGACAATCTGTTTAAATTCCAGAGTAAAAACAAGGCTTCTATCTCTCACTCTCCTGAGGAGAGGACAGACAGGTCATAAGTGGTCCTATGAAAGATCAGAGTTTCCTAATTTGGGGTTCCCCTTCTGTAATGCACACTACTATCTGTGCAGGTACCATCTGACCCTCACTGTGAAGCCCTATGAAGATTTCGGCTCAGGTAACTGACACAAAATATTGCCCTGGTTGCTGCTTTTTCAGGGAGTAATAAACCCTTTGTTTCTGGTCTAGAAGTCCTGTGTTTTCTGGCAAGTTAACATTTTAGATTGTAAGTAGGGTAAAACCTCAGACTCTTTACTGTTTCTGATTTAACCAGCGTAAATTAAGAAACATGGCCACAATGTTTTATACCACGTGAGATCAAGAGACGCAGAGTCTATTTCCCCACTCTGAATTTGGGCTGAACTGTGACTTATACCAACTCAATGTGGCAGAAGTTAGGCAAGTAACAGTGCCTATGCCTCAAGAAGATTTACAACTTCTGCTTTTACCTTCCTTGAATGCAGCCCTGAGGACATGATGCTGTAATTCTTTATAGGATAAAAGACCACATGCTGATTCACAAATTCAAGAGCTATATAAATTGCTGTAGTTTTAAGCTTAAGTTTAAAGCTTAAGCTTAAGCTTTTAAGCTTACCAACTGTATTGATTTTTTCAAAGAGAAAACTTCATAATTTGTTCATTTACTTATGGGACATTTTCCATTTCCCTGATTTCACTTTTCTCTATTTTTTCGGCCTTTTATTTATTTTGAATTTGTCTTTTTCTGACTCTTAGGGTAAAGCTTATTAAGTAATTGATTCTAATACTTTATTCTTCAAGATTTAAAGCTATAAATTCTGAGATGTACCTCATAAAATTTGGTATGCTGTCTTTTTGCTGAATTTGTTTAAAATGCTAATTTCCCATTTGATTTATTATTTTACCCATGAGTTATTCAGAATCATCTTAATTTCAAAACATTCAGGGATTGGGAATTCCCTGGTAGTCCAGTTGTTAGGACTTGGAGCTCTCACTGCCGAGGGCCCTGGGTTCAATCCCTGGTTGAAGAACTAAGATCCCACAAGCTGCATGGTACAGCCAAAAAAAAAAAAAAAAAAAAAAAATTCAGGGCTCTACTAAACCTCATTTTGTTACTGATTTCT